ACATAATTACCAACGCAGTTATTGCCTTCATGATTTTTATTGTTGTTCACTGGGTGTAGCAACAAGCAGTGACCTTGTCCTGCCCTTTTTATTATGAGGAACGTAAAACTTATGTGAGCTTTATCACATTTTCTGTTGCCATTTCACTTTATCTGTTTGGCATTTATGGGTTTGGGGCGTCATTGCTATCCTTCTTTCATTTTATTGTTGTTCTGTTATTGCTAGTATACGTGCAGATTACTGATGTTTTCCATTCTTACCTTTATTGTTATCTTGTTATTGAAAAGCTCCTAAAGATGAAAAAACAGTTACGTTAATAATTGTTTTGAAATTAATTTGCCAACGCACAGGTCACCACTCCCCGATACTTATGCCTTGCAGATGTTTTCAAGTTATAATAAAATCATTTCCAATCGCCAGACGCGCTGATTCGCAAAAAGAAAAAATCTTTCTTTTTGATATAAAACTTGCTGATCATCTAATATCACCAAATATTCAGTCGATAGCTGTGCATATCGATTTAAACACACTCGCAAATATGGGGACAAAAACTGGTCTTTGCGAAACACGCCCCTTTCGGTCTGACAAGCCTCCGGTTCCTTATCTCCTTGCAATCTCTCGCGCACGGCAACCACCTTCCCTTCACCTTGCAAGTTTTATCTCTTACTCTCCTTCCTCCGGTACCTAATTGGTCTTAATTAATTAGTGTAGCATATTCGAAGTCTTCAAGCTTGCAACCGTACCCCAGGAGTTCAAAGGATGGGGCGTATAGGGGTATAGGGGTCACAGAGTATAACCACTATATGTACCCATGTGCAGTGGAGAGGATTTCACTTACAGAAATGTACGCCGTGGCAATGAAGAACGTAAGCAATAGAGAATATTGTTACACTTCTTATGAGAAAAAAAAGCTCTTTTCCTCATGACATGCATTTGTCACAGATATGTATAGAACAATTTAAGATATCTTAAGAATGAGCTAAATCTAACCTTTGTGTCATTAACATTATCATCTATATTTCATCTACACATACTCGTTTTATAATACAAAAATAATATAATTTTATCTATTTTTTGTCCTTAGAAGGACAGATCCTGTCATACTGGCTAAGGAGTAAGGAGAGAGAAAGAGAGAAAGAGAGAGAGAGAGAGAGAGAGAGAGAGAGAGAGAGAGAGAGAGAGAGAGAGAGAGAGAGAGAGAGAGAGAGAGAGAGAGAGAGAGAGAGAGAGAGAGAGAGAGAGAGAGAGAGAGAGAGAGAGAGAGAGAAGAGAGAAGAGAGAAGGAGAGAGAGAGAGAGAGAGAGAGAGAGAGAGAGAGAGAGAGAGAGAGAGAGAGAGAGAGAGAGAGAGAGAGAGAGAGAGAGAGAGAGAGAGAATGGAAATACCTGAAAGGCAGGAAGAATACGAGGAAGAAAAGAAAAGGCGATTGTCCTTCCATATACTCTTTCCTTCTTCTTCCGATAAGAACTCTCTGCCTCTTGCTTCAGATGAGCGTCAAAGAAAATGGAAGCTCTATTTTAGGAGTGTCTTTAATAGGTAGGTCATCTATTTTCTCTCTCTCTCGTGATTTGCAGAATTTTATGGGTAATTCTTGTGGTCGGGATTTACAGTGTTTCCTGAGCACCACCTTGAGAGATGCTTTTGTTGTTTAAAGTAGTTTTATAAACTGAAATGCATATTAGGGGTAACTTTTATGATTAGTCAGTGTACCTGGTATTGGTATTTATTTCGGATCTTCTAATAGCATAGATGTTAACTCTATAATATGTCTATTCAGCTTCCTATTATGATAGAAAAATGTGTGAGATAGATAGATAACCACACAGATAGATAGATATATATAGATAAGTGTGAGAACATGAATAATTCCCCCCTTCTCTCTCTCTCTTTTATTCTCTTTAATATGTCTATTCAGCTTCCTATTATGATAGAAAAATGTGTGAGATAGATAGATAACCACACAGATAGATAGATATATATAGATAAGTATATGGATACGTAAGATGTAAACATTATCAAAGACAAGAGGAAATTTTGGTGTTTTAGAAAATGAATTTACTGAATATAAAGAAATGGCTGATTTGTGAATCGGTATCGAACCGGCAGT